GAGTTAAATCTTTATATCTCAATTCATATAAACAAGTAAAGTGATGCATGCGTACCCGAAGAATTATGAGTGCTTGAGAAATCTTGATTACCTCGAATGTAGATAGGTACACAACTCATAAAGTCTCCAGAGCCTTTAGAGAGTTTAGAGATAATAAAGTAAAATAAATGAGTCGTGTCTCTGCGGTTATCGACTGATCCACTTATATATAGATTAAATTGGTAACCACCTTATTAAATAATAAATAATTATATATCTTATTATTTTTGACTCAGTCAGTTAAGAGATAGAGAATAACTGACGACTACTGGGTTGTGAGTTGGGCCTCTGTCTATTGGGCTCACTTGTGTGGTCCTCCTATCACGGTCCACACAAGATTATAAAAACCAATCTGTTTGAGCTTATTAATTAATGTTAATCCATAATTAAATAAATATTCTAACAAAAAGGAGTAGGGATATGAAAAGAAATTAGAATAAAATAATAAAACGAGTCTTAAAAATATATTTGTTACAAGAAGACAAAAATACATATTGATTATTTTAAAATCAGGACAAAAATACAATGTGGTCTTCTAATTCTACATAAAATTTTTTTTGGCATTTTAATTTTATAAATTATTTTTAATTATTTTTATTGTTTATAAATATTTTTTATTGATTGCACATGCTACAATTGAATATTGAATATAAACACAAAGATTTGAATCTGATTCACCATGTTACGAGTAATTAATCCTTCAGTTAAACTAATCCCATTGATATTTTTTAAATTTTAATATGATTAGTTACGCATCATACTTTTCTGCCAATCTATTTTAAAAAAATTAAGAATGAGAGGATTGAAAAAATAATTTTTAAAAAGAAAAAATTATATACGGATTTTATGGAGCAAATTTTTTTATAAATTAGTCTCATGAAATTTAAAAACTACAACTAGATTTTTTGGAGTCTGTGTGTAATTTGAAAATGAGATAACAAAACAATAATGTCCATATTGAATATATATGCATTACATCAATCAAATAACTTACAATTATTTTATCAATAATTTACAATTATAATTTTAATTTTTTACAATTGTAACTTCATATATTCAATAATTTAGTTGATCGTTTTAATTATTAAATACGTAAAGTTACAGTTGTAAAAATTTAAAGTTATAATTATAAATTATCTATGAAATAGTTGTAAATAATTAATGTTAAATTTTATTAGTAACACATGATTGTTTAACTATTGGATACATGAAACTACAGTTATAAAAAAAGTTAAAATTATAGTTATAAATTACTGATGAAATAATTATAAATTAATTCTTTAATTAATAATTTATATTTAATAAGGATATTATTGTCCTTAGAGTTTAATTTTAAATTACACCTCAATCCTAAGGGATCTGACAGTGATTTTCAAACTTTGGGGGACTTATGTATAAATTAATTTGTTTTATGATATCTATACATAATTTTTTCTTTAAAAAATAAAGGTGATGAAATAAAAATCAGTGCGAGGTTAAAATCCTCAAAAGTAATTGTAAGTTTGTAACCCCGACAAAACGCAATCTTGTGTTGGCGGATGCATTTTTCCTTCGTCGACGAACTGGCGTTCTTCACTCCGTTGGACGCCGTCCACCGCTGTCAGCCTGCGTGGTTGTTCACAGGGAAGTAGTGAAGAAGGTTCGAACTCTAGGGCTTCCCCAGAACTCGGTGAGATTGATATTTTCGATCTGGCTTTGAATTTGTTCCTCACATCGTCTGCTCCCTGCGTGGTTGTTCTTGCTTTATTTTAATTTGTTCAGTTTAATTCGGCTTTGAATATGGTCGTGCAATCGTTTGAATGTTGACGCTTTTGAATTTGGGAATATTTACAGATTGAGTTTAATTTCTTTTCTTTTTTGTCCTAGTTCTTGCTTGAATGGTGTGTAATTGGCTACTATACTTCTGCCCTCTTCATTTTGATTACTAGCGACTTGTATGCCTTAGATTTTGTTGTTTTGCAATGTTGGATTTGTTGCGCATTGGCATTCTGTTTATTGATCTCTTTATATTATCATCAGTTTGGAAAATTCTCAAGGTATTTGTGACGTATGATCTCGTAAATGACTAAGCTTGAGCTGTGTCAAAGTATCTGGGGCAAAGCATTAAAAAGTTATTATATCAACTATGCATATTTCACAGATTTCAGTGGGGGCAGCAGATGCCCTCACTGAGTGTAATATAGGTCCCCCTATGATGCTTGTTGAATGTCCATTATGTTGGTTGCAATGCATCCTCACTTTCGTTTTCTCACTGACAATAACACGCTGGTCGCTGGGAGCCAATTTGGATTTAACTATCATCAGAAAAGTAATTCCACATGAAGTCAAATTGCGTGTTTGTTGTCTTGATTTGACATTCATTTCACTGCATTTTATGAAATGCATGTTAATTTCCTGCTAATTTAAATTATGCACAGAGCCATGCCTTTACTTGGGGTTACACCTACTTGTTTTTGCAGATTCAATGAGATTTATCTCTTAAAATATGATTACAAGAAGCTTTGCTGATGGCATAACGAAACCGAGTTTCCTACTAACACAGACAAAAATGCCCATTCTAGCATTTTGCCATTCTAAGTTTAGTTCTTCATTAACTCTACAGTTGCCTTGTAACTGCATGAGAAGAATGGGTTTGATTACGCAATTTAAATGTTCTGTTGCTAATAGAACATTGACGTCTAGTTCTGTGGCTTCACCTACATCCAAACCAGGCTCCATTGGCTTGAACAGGAAACAAGGGCGTTCATCCTCATTATATAGTCGTCCTAGTTTATCAGAAATGAACAAAGAGAGGATGGCAAACCGTGAGAAGGTTTACGCTTTCTTGCGGGGGATTGGTATTGTCCCTGATGAGCTTGATGGTCTGGAACTTCCTGTGACAGTTGAAGTCATGAGGGAACGAGTAGACTTTCTTCACAATTTAGGGCTTACAATTGAAGACATCAATAATTATCCATTAGTTCTTGGCTGCAGTGTCAAAAAGAATATGATTCCTGTGCTTGATTACCTTGGTAAATTGGGAGTCAGGAAATCTACTTTCACACAATTCTTGCGGAGATATCCACAAGTTCTTCATGCTAGTGTTGTTGTTGACCTTGAACCAGTGGTTAAGTATCTTGAGGGGATGGATATCAAGCCCAATGATATTCCCCGGGTTCTCGAGACATATCCAGAAGTGCTAGGATTCAAGCTTGAGGGAACCATGAGCACATCAGTTGCTTATTTGGTTGGTATTGGTGTTGGAAGAAGAGAAATTGGAGGGGTTCTAACACGATACCCTGAGATTTTGGGAATGCGAGTTGGCCGAGTAATCAAGCCTTTTGTGGAGTACCTGGAAAGCTTGGGAATTCCAAGATTAGCCATTGCAAGAATAATAGAGAAACGACCTTATATTCTTGGCTTTGGATTGGCTGAGAAGGTGAAGCCAAATGTTGAAGCTCTTGAAGAGTTCAATATTAGAAGAGCATATCTGCCCTCTGTAATTGCACAGTTTCCTGATATCATGGGAATGGACTTGAAGCCAAGGCTAGAGAATCAAAGCAATTTACTCAAATCTTTACTTGATTTGGATTCTCAAGATTTTGGTAGAGTTGTTGAGAAGATGCCACAGGTGATCAGCCTCAGTAGTTCACCTATGCTGAAGCATCTTACTTTACTCAAGGATTGTGGGTTTTCCTTGCAACAAATGAAGAAGATGATTGTTGGTTGCCCTCAACTTCTCGCTTTAAACATTGACATCATGAAACTTAGCTTTGATTACTTTCAAAAGGAGATGGGGAGGCCTTTAGAAGACTTGGTTGCTTTCCCAGCCTTTTTTACATATGGTCTGGAGTCAACTGTAAAACCTAGGCATAAGATGGTTGCCAAGAAGGGAGTGAAGTGTTCCCTCGCATGGATGCTTTGTTGCTCAGATGACAAATTTGAGCAACGAATGGATTATGACACTATTGACATGGACGAAATGGAAACGGGACCATCATTTGACATGAATGCACTGATGGAACCAAGGAGTGATGAGTCAGCTTCTGATTACGATGACAGTGATGATGATGATGATGAAGAATAGAGTAGCCAGATTTCTTTCCCACCAGTGAGGATTTTGTGCTCTCCTAGGAGGATCTTTGTATAAAGAGTATGAATGTTATACTTCTGTAAAGGTGAATTTCTACCTCAGAAGCAATTGAGAGTTAAATCGTAATTTTTATTCTTGTCATTTATGCGGTGCGGTATTGGATCTAGTTCTTCGATCCTTTTAGCTTCCAGTTCCTATTCGTACCCATTATTATATAGACAGAGACGTCGTCTTTCATGTCAGAATTTATGCGGTGCGGTGTTGGATCCAAGTGATTGAACGTAGAAAGAAAGAAAACTCCGAAATATTTATATGACATGAAAGAATGACCAGTGACGCGAGAGGCACCTTAAAGGCATGCATGGAAAATACATTGATATGAATTATTGTTGAATCTGACCAAAAACATGTATTGTTTCAAAACCTGTTGGAGTGAATGCCACTTGTCCAAATCACTTATATATAAATTATAGGGGGACATTTAGGGTTGCATATTTATGTGAAGTAACGTACGCAAGGCAGCCTGCATACAACGGAAAGAAGCAGCCAGTTGTTAGTGTTATTTTATTGTATTTATTTTTATAGATATGCTGATCGGGTCACAGAAATTTGCTTATCTTAAAATTGGAAACTAAAGCCACGAAACTGTCGTCAGTCACAGCTCTCAGTGTTCGTGGCTAAATTATGAATTATAATGGCCCGCCAAAAGCACGCAATGCAATCCGATTTTTTTCCTCACAAATCCAATCCGACTTCGTTAACTCCTCTACTCCAAGCTAGCGAGTAATTATCCTTGGTTCTTACATCAAATATTGCCCCGATATTCTGTTTGTCCTATCTGTTACTTCTTTTTAAGTGTCTTAGAGTACTGCAAGCCTGCGACACATAATTAAAGAGAACCTATGAAGAAGCACATTGTGCTTTGTTCTATTCACTGTCTCATTTCATATCAAAATCCGTTACAAGTAGCTTTTAGCCTAACTGAAATCTCGAATCAAAGCTACGAACTAGTTGATGTTTAAGACCTATGCAACAACTATACAAATCATTCCTCTTTGTTTTCTTTCTATTCTTTCAGTCAGCGAAGGATTAAGTGTGTGAAAAAGCGGTGAAGGGGGAAAACAAACTGGGTGATGGCTGATGAATCTGGCCACTTCAATCATCTTCAAAGTCAGTGAGGTATTTAAGAGTAAATTTTATCCTTGAGTTTTCCGTTGCTGTCACCTTATCAAGAGTGTGCCATGGCTTCTATGCTCCTCCCACCTGTGTCACTCATTCACTTTCAATGTGTTCTTGTCTTATTCCCAATGCCAAATGTCTTGAACTAAATTTGGAGTGGCTCTAGCTAGCATTTGTCAGGATGTCATCTGTGAACACGGCATTCTTATAGGCGAAAAAACTACTGTGAGCCGAGCATGGTCCGAAAGGCTGTAATCTTCTGGCCATCTACCTTTCTCCACCTCGGGAGGAAATAGTACTGCATTTTTTACACTGAAACCAACGGTTTGCTCCCTTTGGCCATCGGAGACATCCTTGTGCTCTTCATTCCTGTATTCGTTCCCCTCATCTGACTCTGGCTTCCAGAGTTGCTCCTACAACCCCATAACATAACAACCATGAAATCTCAGACAAAGATTCAGACTACAAAGAAAATGACACCAGTTAAAAAGTGCTACAGCCACTGTGGTTGTCATGACCACAGGAGAGAAAGGGCTGTCATGACCATGCAGATAAATTGTTTATGTAGCACTAACATGTTCAACCACTCACACCTAGTTCTGGAGAATTGAAATAGTGGTTTCACATATGATAGAACACAAGCGAGACATAGTAAACATGCAACAATGAAAAAAATAGTGGTTATTTAAATCTGAATACTATTGTGCTTTGGTGCAGAAAAAAATACTCCAAATACTTTATGCTGAGGGTTGATATTCAGGGAACTGCCTTACCAGAAATTCTTTATAATCCAGAACACCGTTTCCATCTATATCTGCTTGGGACCACAAGTCCGTTGTCTCTTCATCACTCAGCCCATGGCAATGACCAAATAAATTAAGCTGCAGAGAATGAAGAAAAAATTTATCCAACAAAGGGCTTCTCAGACACGCACCGGCTGGCCTCTCTCTCTCGAACACACACACACACACACACACATTATCTGAACTTGAAGAAAAACCCTGTCTTTTAGTTCATACTATATCATACCTGCCGAAGTGCTTCACAAAAACTAGAATAGGTGATACTATCTTCTTTATCAGCCTTTAAAAAGGCAAACGCCCGAGTCTCTGCCAGAGCAGTCTTCAGCAACAGATACTGAAAATATAAATTTGTAATCAGCCACATAATACTGTCCTACAATCACTAAAATTGATAATATAGACTAGTTTAGAACTAGATGATATGACATTTTACTCCAATTAATGTTGCTAGGTTCATTCAACAACTTACTTGTATAATTGTTGCGATATGATTACTTGGAGATTCCATTTCATGATGAAATATTAAAGGTAACAATGGTCAGATTAACATAAGTCGATGTTGTGAATAAAGGTTTCTCAATGGCAGATAATGATGTGTCTATATGACCGACCTTTGTCTAAAGATATACATGTTGAAGGTGCTAGCAAGGATGGTGGGAAAAAAATGATTAAGAAACTGAGAGCAGGTCTGAAGGCTTTTGATTACCTTCAACATGCCAAATACTGCTTCACTCCAACTTGCTTTCAGAAGTTTGCGATATTTATCAGGATTTAGTAGCCATATAAAATCAACAGCACAAATATTGCCAAGGTGGTTTCGGTGGCTAACCCACTGCTTTAACAAGAGATTTTTAACCATAAATAAGGAGAAGCATATATTTCCCAACATACAACTCTGAGAGCAATTTTAGGGGGCGCACCTTGTGGGCATCTGCATCAGTGTACTGGTGAGCAGTGTCATATGATGATACGAAGCCTTGTGATCTCAGGAACTTGTAAACATGCCCACGTTTACTTCCATTCCAGTCACTGAGAAATCAAAAGTTGAACATAAAACATTAAGAGAAAACATATTCATCAATCCTTATAGTTTCATTGAATTTTGCTTTTAGTCTCTATAGTTTTTTTTCTAGTGCTTTCAATCTCTATAATTTCAGAAATATAAGGTGATATTTGTTTTTTGAGTTCATATAGTTTCAGTTTTTTTTTAAGTATTTTTAGTCCCTATAAAGACTGAAAATACTGGAAAAAAACTACAAGGATTAAAAATAAAATCCAATGAAACCATAGAGATCAAAAATTATGTTTTCCCCAAACATTAACAATGATTCAAGCATTTTTCCCAAAAGAAAAGGACAAAAATTAAACTATCCCTCAGGCAAGAAATAGGAGGAGGAGCACTACATTTGGAAATTTACCCGCATAAAATGATCGGCATGGGCATAAGTTGGCGCTCTCTCTGATAAGATTCCACGTATTGAAGTATCTTGTAGACCTGCACAAAACTGAGATTTTTTAATATTTTTCCAAGTGAGCTGCCAAACATACTAATAAGCATACTGCTGAAATACCTGACGTAATCGAACTAGGCACAGACTTGAATCATGAGGAAATAGCAAGTGTGTGTTCACAAATAGAATTTCTTGCCCAATATCATTGTTACTGCATTGTGAAATTGGAAGAGCTAATTTAACATGTAACAACTGAGCTACACGATCGCCACAATCATTGAAAAGCAACTCCTTGTAATCAATGACAGTAAAGTATTCTTTTTGAACCGACATCAAAAGACCTGCAGATTCCAAAGGAAACATCAAATAAGCACCGCACAGTAAACTTCTTCCAGCAGTTGGGAAATGAAAATCCACTATGCATATTGCAAATAACATCATGAAAGCCTGTCCCATATTTAGCAATTTAATAGACTTGCATTCACAAGGATAGTAGGATACGAAAAAGGAACATCACGAAGTCACTCAATCTAAACGACTTTAATGATGTGTATACCGAATCCGTTCAACAGGCAGAAAATTAAAAATCTTAAGTTTAAGGATCGACTACAGGCGCTGACAGGATTGGCACATCAATATCCCATGGAAGCAAAGTCACTCATTTGCCGTGATGATCGATTATAAAATTTTCAGATATGTTATATTGTTATTATAGTCTTGTTTGTTTATAGAACGAAATCCAGGTTAAATATTATGTTTAAAAAACACACTGACAGAACTGATAATCCTAAACGGTAGTTTGAAATTAAGGGACAAAATGCTAACCATCACCGCGGTTGTTAGTCCGTCCAAGATTGAAACTAATATAACCAGCATCACCGAGTCTCTTCTCGTACAAATTCACAAGCTCCTGGTTTCCAACCCAAAACTCCTGCGCCAGGCCAACAGAATCAAATTCATTACCATAAACCCAACGAAAAATTCGACAAGATTCAGCACATTCAAAGAAGAACTTGCAAAACCTGAAGACATATAAGGGAAGATCTCTCGCACAGCAACCAATCCAATATCCTATGGTTCCTGGTCAACCAGTCCACTCTGTTATCGCTCTCGCGGCAACTCTGGTCCTGCTTTCCCCACCAAACCAGAAAGAAAACAAAATCATAAAAATTGTGACAATCCGTTTGAAGAATTCGTCAACTTAGTAAAGGGAAAATGGGCATTGCAATAAACCAAAAGGAGGAGGAAGAAATTAAATAACCTCATGGTCGAGGCGCTTGTATATGGGAGCGAGAATATTAAAGGTTGTGCAGGTAATACAAGGTTGTCGTTGGTTTTCCGTTATTGAAGAAGCGATTGCGTAACTGCCAATCCTTGAAATCTTTCCCATCTTCTCCTTGCTACTCCTTCCCTGCCTTATCATACGTCCAGGCTCACCAATAATGCCTCTATATATTCGCGCAATTCCTCACATACCGAACAACTCGAGGGAGAGAGCGAAAAAAACAAAAAAGTACCTTTAAAAAATTATTCCTTATCTCCCTTTTATTGTCTGAAAGGAAAGGACAGTTATTTGTGAAGGTAGGTTCTGGTTGAGACGAAGGGAAAGCGAATAGCCAGGATTCGAGGAATTTCTCAAGCTACGATGCGCACTGCGACATTGAACGAATAATTAAATGAAGAAACCAGTAAGAACGGTAATGAATCCCGTCAGAAGAAGAGATATATAAAAGCAGTAAAACCAGGAGCCCCACTGCCGTTACCACCTCGGCCTGTTTCTAAATCCAGAGACACACGAAAACTCGAAATAACTAACTCTTGTCCTTTCACGTTGTCTGCTTGCTTGTTGTTTCCACGCCTTCTTCGTCCTATAAATATCTTCGGAATGTGGTTTAGCGTCTTGGACAAATTATGTAACCAAAATATACGCGCCATTATATAATAACGATTGGCGCCAAGCAAGTTGACGACCCTCCAGGCCTCCAGTGTATGATGGAGATATTAAATATTTTTATTTTGATTCGGCAATTAGAAAGAAGGGAACAAAAAAGAACCTGAATTTGAAAATTAGAAAAGAAGGGCATCGGGAGACGATCGACCCACAGAAAGGGCGAGGCCGAAAGTTAGAAAAAAAAAGGGAATCCCGGAATCGCTTCTGGTCCTCGTGTTCTGCCGAAAAGAGAGGTTGGCGCGGGAATGCCATCATGGATATATACGAATCCGACATTAATGTTTTCACGCCTTTTTTTTATTTTATTTTTTAAAAAAGGAAATATTTCTGGGCATTATTAATAGTGTCTTCCTTGCTTCAATAACCTTTTCATTTATGCTGATGAAATAGTAATATCTTTTTATTTAACAAAAATTGATTGAGAGTTTGATCAATACTTCTTTCATTTTAAATTATAAAATATTTTTAAATAAAATCATATATATTAATAAAATTTATTAAATATACTTTACAATAATTTTTTAAGATAAAAAATATAAATTTTTAAAAATTATCTTCACTTAATACTTCATTTATAAAAGAATATAGGAATAATATGTGAGAATAATAATATTAAAAAATGCTATTAATAAAACTTTATTTTTATTAAAGTATTTTATATTTTAAAATGTTAAATATATACTAAAAATATATTATAATTTGGGATGGAAGTGGTATATATATTTTCTGGAGGTGTGCTCAAGTTAATGTTTTTAAAGTTTTAGCATTACCCTTGATCAAGTTCATTGAATAAAAAATAAAAAATTAATTAAAAGGTTGTTGGGTTATTTGAAAATATTTGAGGGGAAAAATAATATAAGCAAGGTGCAAACGACTTTATTGCAGGGACCAATAATGGATCACGAAAAATGTAGTATCATTAAAAGGGTATCGGCAAGTCGATGGAGTGTTGTGAGGGATCTGATATAGACTAGGCATTAGCTGCCGTCTATAATTAATTTATTCAATATTCGTGGATGAAGAGACTTTTTGAGGACAGATTTGAATCTTATTCCAAAGGGGTGAGACCAGACCAGAGATGGCATGGTCTTGCGTTGTTGGAGTTTGGTCTTATGTACTTTCTCCATCCATGTGAACACGTTTGATTCCCTTGCCAAGTCCAACGATGGTGAATGGGTCAATGTTTTTTCAATACCTGCCACCTTTTTTATTACCCCATATCACAGTAAATACCTAAATGCAATCCTTTTTTTTTGGAAGAATTATCCTCCATAATAGAATTACTTAATTCAAAATTCATTAATAATTAAATTAAGGCTATTGACAACATGACATTAGTTCAATTGTTAATAAATTTTGAAATAATTTACTCTTTTGTGTAAAATTTTAACACACAACAATAATAATAATAACAAACTTTATTTGTAGTAAGCTATATAAAACTTCAACCTAGTACTTCCTTTTTTTTTTTCTAGTAGTGTGAGGCTTGGGGGGCATACCCGAATTGTAAGGCTTTAACTTTAGATTGCATGGTTCACATGGGGGAGAAAACTTAAGAGCGAGAGAAAAAACCACGACTCTAGTCCATTCACGTGTAAATCTCGACTACAGAATGGGCTTTGATCATATCCAATGAGAATAGAATAAATCAAACTCGTGGCTTAGCTGAGGGAGATGAATAGTATGCTATTGAATTGTCGTAGCTATCAATGATCGCAGGGGATGGTGATAATTATACAATGATGTGAAATGGCATGATTTCTTGGCATATATAAACCTGTGAGAGTTTGTGAGTCCTGTGTTGTGTGGCGTATAGCTCTCGTGGAACAGATTACACATGTATAATTTGTTGAATCTATATATCTCAATTCATATAGACAAGTAAAGTAATGTATGCGTACCTGAAGAATCCATGAGCGCTTGAAAAAGCTCGATTACCTCGAGTGTAGACAAGTACACAACCCACAAGTTCCCAGAGCGTTCAGGGAGTTCAGAGATAATGAAAGTAGAAGAATGAGTCGTGTGTTTGAGGTTATCGATTAATCATCTTATATAGATCAGATCGGTAACCGCCTTATTAAATAATAAATAATTATATATTTTATTATCTCTGACTCGGTCAGTTAAGAGATAGGGAATAACTGACGGCTACTGGGTTGTGGGTTGGGCCTCTACCTATTGGGCTCACTTGTGTGGTCCTCCTATTACGGTCCACACAAAATCATAAAGACCAATCTGTTTAGGCTTATTAATTAATGTTAATCCATAATTAAATAAATATTCTAACAATCCCCACTTGGATTGCATTAATTAAGCAAGTTGTATAAACAAGCCACAAACAAGATTCAGAAAATAAAACTCCATAAAATCACTGGATCCTATAGGGAAACAAGTGATATAACATCTCATAATCTGAATAAAATATGAATTTTTTTATTCTAAACACAGCTCAGTAAGATAACAACATAAATCACTGATTCTTATGGAGAAACAAGTGACATGCATAGCGTATCACAACAGAATCATTGAATCCTATGGGGATACAAATGATATAGACGCATCTAACTGAACTGAACATAACTCACAGAAGAAAAATAAAATCTAAAGAGAAATTGCAACACAAAAGGTTCTCAAAACTCCCACTAAACCAGGGCATCAAAGGAATTCATAATACCCATATAAGTTACATGATTTTGAAAAACTTCTACAGGTAAGCCCTTAGTCAACGAATCTGCAAGCATCTGTATGCCAGGAATGTGTACCATACGGGTTTAAGACTCAGCAATTTTCTCTTTCACAAACATAAGTTTGATATCAAAATGCTTTGTACGGCTAGAATTTCTGTGATTATTGGCATAATATACTACAGATTTGTTATCATAATAAATGGTTAGAGGACGTGATATTGACTCAACTAGGCGCATGCCAGATATCAACTTTCTCAGCCATATAGCGTGACGTGTAGTCTTAAAATAAGCAATATACTTAGCTTCCATGGATGAAACTGCTGTAAGTATCTGTTTCACACTTTTCCAAGAGACAGCTCCTCCAGACAACATGAAAATATAGCCGGTCGTGGACTTACGATCATCCAGACAAGAGGCAAAATCTGAATCTGAGAAGCCAACAATTTCAAGATCTTCTGATCCCTTAAAGTCATAATCAGAATACACAACAACCTCAAGAGAATTTGACTTTCTGTAAGTCAGCATATGATTCTTTGTACCTTGAAGATACCTCATAACTTTCTTAGCAGCCTTCCAATGATCCGGGCCTGAATTATTTAAGTATTGACCCAGCACTCTAATGACAAAGGCTATATTTGGTCAAGTATACACTTGAATATACATTAGGCTGCCAACAGCGAAAGCGTATGGTATCTTTCTCATTTCAGCCCTCTTCTTATCATCCTTGGGACACTGTAACTCTGACAACAGCTTACCTTTCTGTACAGGAGCAGGTGAAGGAGAATATAAGTCTATTCTGAATCTCTTAAGTACTCGCTCAATATAAGTGGTCCGTGATAAACCAAGAATACCACGAGATCTATCACGATGAATTTGTATCCTGAGAATGAAAGAGGCTTCACCCATGTCCTTCATGTCAAAATAGCAAGACAATAAGTGCTTTATCTCATTGAGAAAATTTATTGAATTACTGGCTAACAAGATATCATCAACATAGAGAACAAGAATGGCAAAATTATTCCCATCAAACTTCTGATAGATGCACTGATCTGAGATATTCTCAACAAAACCGAGCGAGGTGATAACTTTATCAAACTTCAGATACCATTATCTAGAGGCCTGTTTTAGCCCATAGATGGATCTCTTCAATCTGCACACTAGATGTTCTTTACCAAATTCAACAAAACCATCAAGTTGTGTCATGTAGACTTCTTCATACAAATCGCCATTCAAGAACGCAATCTTGACATCCATCTAGTGAAGATCAAGCTGTGCAACTAAAGCCATTACCACTCTAAAAGCATCTTTGGTGGATACCGGAGAGAAAGTTTCTGTGTAATCAATACCTTCTTTCTGGTTGTAGCCCTTAGCTACAAGTCTAGCTTTATATCTATCAATTTCACCTCTAGCTTCTCGTTTTGTTTTAAAGACCCACTTGTAACCCACTGGTTTAAAACTTGTTGGTAGCTTTACAAGCTCCCATACATGATTGCGATACATAGAGGTAATTTCTTCACTCATAGCCTCCAACCATTCAGAAGAATGTGAGTTAGAAATAGTCTCTTAGTAAGATATTGGGTCTAAACTATTAATAGCATCTGAATCAAATTCCTGCAGATACACCATGTAATCATCTGGAATAGCAGACCTGCAAACCCTTTGAGACCGTCTTGGTTCAACAACCAGATCCCTATCACCTTTTAAAGATGGTTCATCTTGAGCTTTATCCTGATCCACGGCATTATTTCTGTCAACATAAGAGGTTATCAAGATGGGCATAGGCAAAATGCTACTTTCATCATGTAAAGTAATATGCCTAGGCACAGAGCTCCCACTGTTTAAGGCATCGTCAAAGAAATAAGCTCGATCATATTCAATTACTTTAGTAGTGTGATTTGAATAATGGAATCTGTAGCCACAAGATCCAATGCAATAGCCAATAAAGAAACCATCAACAGTTTTAGCATCAAGCTTCATCTGTTGTGGATTGTAAAGTTTTACCTGTGTTTTATAACCCTAAACTCGCATATGCTTCAGCGCAAGAGTCCTTCTAAAATACAACTCATATGGAGTCTTTGGAACTAACTTGCCAGGAACTTAATTTAAAATATAGACATCTGTTTTAAGTGCATCACCCCACAAGAATTCCGGCAGTGAAGAGTGACTGATCATGCTCCTAACCATATCCATGAGAGTACGATTTCACCTTTTTGCAACCCCATTCTGCTGCAAGGTCCCAGGCATAGTATACCGAGCTTCAATGCCATGCTCTTGAAGGTACAAAGCAAATGGCCCAGGGTTCCTACCAGTCTCAGTATATCTGCCATAAAATTCTCCTCCTCTATCAGATCTTACACACTTGATTAACTTGTCAGATTTTAATTCAACTACTGCTTTAAAGGTCTTGAATGCATTAAGGGACTCTCCCTTTTCACGCAAGAGTTCAATCCATCCATGACGAGAGTAATCATCTGTGAAGGTGATGAAATATCTGAAACCACCCATAGCTGGAGGTGTGATAGGTTCACAGATATCAGTATAGATTAGGTCTAAAGTATTTTCAGACCTCTTTACCCCTTTAGTTCTAGCTCTAGCAAGAAATTTTTCCTTTATGCAGTCAACACAAGTTTCAAAATCTGAGAAATCAAGGTCTTGTAAGACACCTTGCTTGGTCATGCGCTCCAATCTCTCTTTAGAGATATGATCCAAACGACGATACCATAACATAGAGGAATTATCATTGGGCCTTTGACGTTTATGTCCAATAGCAGCATTGATATGGAGATTAGAAAGTTCAAGTGATCAATCATTCAATCGATATAAATCATATATCAAGGAAGCGACACCAACATTGATGGAATCAAAACAAATGTCAATTTTTTCATTTCCTTGAAAGAATGAATAGCCACAAATATCCAATGCAGAAGTTGAAATTAAATTCCTCTTTGCAGAAGGTATATAAATAACATTGTTGAAATGTAAAACATGACCAGAATTTAAATACAAAGAACCAATTCCAATGCATTCAACTGATGCCTTGCTCCTTGCTATGCCAAAGACTGACCTCTGTGCCTCACTTGGAACCTTCTGGTTTCTTAGCCCCCGTAGATAATTTACAATATATACAGTGGCACTAGAATCCAGCCACCATGAGTCAAAAAAAGTTTCAATGGTGTTAGATTCAAAACAGACTAGAGCTAGAGGGGCAGTTTGAAGAATTATACCTTCACTTTCTTATTTGTTCTTCAATTTGAAGCAATTAGCTTTAATGTGACCCAGTTTCTTGCAATAATTACATAACCCTTTAAAGGGTTTCTTCCTCGACTTCTCACTCTTATCACCATCCTTCTTAAAGGTTGGATTATTAGACTTTGGGGTATCATACTTCTTCCCCTTTTTCTTATATGACCCTCCAGTTTACTACTAGAGCCATGAGAAACATAATTTATTAAGTAAGAGGAATTATTCTTTATAGCTTCCTCTTCTTGAGTAACTATCGATATCATCTGGTCAACAGACCATTTAGCTTCTTGTGAGTTGTGTGAAGTCCTCAAGAATGCGTACTCTGATGGCAGTGATTGAAGAATACAGTAAACCAAGATACTTTCACCCAAATCAATCCCATATGACTTAAGCTTGTAGAACCTGATCCTTGAAAATGGTGCGCGCGCGCGCACACACACACACACATATCATTGTTGGCTGTAGTTATTCTTTCGAACCATGATTTTAGACCCAACAATAAATGTTTTGGCAGAGAAATCAAATACGTTCATATTATCAGGAAGTGGGAAGGGAACATTGGGGAAGAAGGTAGACCTAACAAGAACAATGCATTTATGCTAGAGGGTGAAATACTCAAGCAAAGCTAGACCGTGCATATCTCGGCACACGAGCCAAAATCTTTGAGTTTAATCCAATCAAGCAACTCTTCAGTTGAGTCTGTTATGACCTCTTGCGAGATAAGATAATTGCCATGGGTTATAGCAGATAATAAACGTCTTTTCACTTCCATTTTGCCAAAAAACAAAACAAAACAAAGAAAGAGTTATATATGCCACTGTAGATTCCGCTGGAGTAATACACGTTACTGAGTCACTCTCTAATTTTGTCCCAAAAAAAAAGATTCAGTCTCTAATGTTAATCTATGTATGCTTTTGCTGGTTTTTCCGTCAATTCATCTTGAAACTACTTCTCTTCAGTAGCCGATCAAGTATTTTGTCCACAACTCAGTTAATTTCGATCCTCATCTTAAGCATTAATGTTTCCTTTTTCATCGATTGATTAAGTTGATTTTTGCCACTGAATGAATTCAAATCCAAATATTTTGATCTTTTAATCAAGATTAGATATTTTTTGCAAAAATAACTTGCCAATAATGGATGAAGAAAAAGAGGACGAGAATCCAGAGGGTTGGAGATGTTGGGCCCATTTATTTCAGCCTTTTTCATGAAAAAATAAATTTTTTTTGGAAAAAAATATATTGTGAAATTTTATAGTGTTTGTTTAAATTTTTAAAAATAATATTTTTTTAAAATGCAAAACATATTTTTAGAGAGCAAGGCATATAAATTCTGAAAAGGGTATATTTCTGAATTTTGATTATTTTAAGTATCGTTTGAAAATAATTTGATATGATAAATGAGAGAAAATATCATTAAAATATGAAAATACAAAAAAATATTATTAAATTTTAAAATAATTAAATAATGAATTATTTTTATAAAATATAAATCCATGAAATTACTAAAAAAAGTTCATGAAATTAAAAAAACAAATAATTATTGCAGCTACATATAAAATAATATCTTACTTTAATAAAATCTCTGCAAAAATAAGTATTTATTTATAAATTTTTTAAACTACCCAAATATCATCATTGATTTTTTTAATTTAAAACAAGCTGACCCATTGTTTTATTTTTTAAGGAAAATATTATTCAAGGACCATAGAATCAATTTAATATGAAACAAGAATTAAAGGATTATGAAATATAATTGTAAAATCAGGAACTAGTTTGAAAATAATTTTATATGGGAGAAGATTATAATATCGTTGTTTTTCTTTTACCTTTTTTTTAAAAAACTGTCAACTAGTGATTATGTTTTTGTTAAATATAAGTGTGTGATTTATACTTATTCTTTCCTACAACTAAGTTTTTTCATGTGTTTGGATTTGTTAGTTGGTAAATAGTTTCTTGTTAAATGCCAACGAGGACTTATTAATTAGATAATGACTACTTATTAAAACATAATTTGTACTTAACCTTATCGCAATTAAATTCTTTTAGATCATTAAACTTTTCAATTAATAAATAATTTATTATTGTATGTGAATGGATACTTGTTAATTAATGAATTATTACCTATTAAAGTATGATATACAATCACCCCTCCCTACAACAAGTTCTTTCGGATTTTTAAACCTTTCAATTAAAAGGAATAAAGGAAGGGATATCATGGTTTTTCTCATTTAAAATTATTTTTAAATTAATCATTTGATTTTGCAATGATATGTCAAAATCTTTTAGTCTCTGATTAATATTGAATACTCTGTGGCCTGTTGGGGGAAACTTTGCAATCCTTGAATGACATTTTATCTGTTTTTTTTAATACGATGAAAATGTTATTTTACTGTTTGGTGATTAGCTTAGAATGATACAGGCTGTGGACCTCGTCACTTTGTTTGGGCCACTTGTGGCCTATATCAAATTGTTGTTACATCGTGAGATGTGCAAGCTTGCCTCCATTTTAAGGTTTGAAAAACCATAGCCCAATGGAGAATAGAGAAATTTAAAAGACACAATTTTAAATTTAAAATAAAACATGATTTAGTTGAAAATTGTTTAAATATAAAACTACATTCACGTTTATTTAATATAAATATTAGAATAAATTCAATACTATAAAAATATTCATAATTTAAATTAGTATTAAAAATATTAAAAACATTACAAGTTTTAAGAGAAATATTTAGGTAGACTGGGCGCATTATATTATTTATGGCCTGTTCAATTAAAATATTTTAAGTAATTTAAATAAAATTTTGTATGATATTTTTTAAATTAATTTTATTTTTATAACAGAATGCATATTTGATTTATTACCTTCTCTCTCTCTATTATTATTAATATTAGAATCAATTTATATTTAATGTTATCTAAATGTTATATTTTTGCCAAACAGACTATAAATAATACGGTGCATCCAATTTATCTAATTATTTTTTTAGGTTCCAAATAAATTTTTTTATCGATCTAATTGTTTTGTAACAAAGGCTATTTCGTTACTAGAATTTTTTGTGCTTAGAAGGCTAGTTTTTTTTTTTTTTTTTGGGTTTTGGATGAAGAAAGGTTTACTAAAATAGCATTTTTTGTAAGTTGGATTTTTGCAGTACCATTTTTCCAAACAGATTGTCAAGCATTGAAAATGCCAGTTTCGAAACGGGCCGATCTCGTAAAGCCTTCCGAGCCCAACACTGCATCTCGCACCCAATAACCCTAATGCATATATTGCGCCCTAGGGTTTTTGTTTTGCTTCCAGTCTTCCAAGAGAGCTGAGGGAGAAGATAAGGCCGGGAAGTATCAACACCGAAGATGAAAACAATCCTCTCTTCCGAAACGATGGATATCCCCGAAGGGGTGACCATCAAAGTCAAAGCAAAGATTATTGAGGTAGAGGGACCTCGCGGCAAGCTTGTCCGTGATTTTAAGCACCTGAATCTCGATTTTCAGCTCATCACCGACGAGGATGGCAAGAAAAAGCTTAAGGTGGATGCCTGGTTCGGGTCTCGCAAGACCTCTGCTGCTATTCGTACGGCTCTTAGTCATGTAGAAAATCTCATTACCGGCGTTACAAAGGGTTATCGCTACAAGATGAGGTTTGTCTATGCTCACTTCCCTATAAACGCAAGCATAACCAACAGCAACAGGTCCATTGAGATCCGAAACTTCCTAGGAGAGAAGAAGGTACTCTTCACTTGCCCTCTTGGTTAGATAATGGGATTTTAGCATTTATAATTTACAATGGTCAGATGGATCAATTATTTTGCATTTCCTGTTCGCATTCTAATTTTGATTTGTTGTACATTTTAAATACATTATTGGTTCTAGATTGTCCCCCTTTAGTTGTTTTTCACTCTAATTTATGTCACTGTATTTTGATGCATGCTCTTGGCTCATTTATTCGATCTAATACCTTAATCAACTAAGCAGAACCGCGTTTTCTTTGTTGTTCATCATACTTTTCTCTGCTATTGGGTGCAGAAACGTGTTGAAGCTTTCTGCTTGTTTATATTGATCTAGTGACTTTTATTTGATTGACGTAGATGTTCATTCTTATAGAACCTAATTGGATTTAATATTGTATTCGGTTACCCCGTCCCAGGTGAGGAAGGTGGATATGCTCGAGGGTGTTTCAATTGAACGTTCTGAGAAGGTCAAGGATGAGTTGATTTTGGATGGGAACGATATCGAGTTGGTGTCTCGGTCTGCTGCTCTCATCAATCAGGTCTAGCTCTTTTTCAGAATCACTTGTTTGTAAACATTACAAATATTTGCCCTGGATGATCCTAATTATTTTTTGTTCTTTGATTGAAACAGAAATGTCACGTTAAAAATAAAGATATCCGGAAGTTTCTTGACGGAATCTACGTCAGCGAGAAGGGGACTATACTCGTAGAAAATTAGATGGTCATGTCAAGCTTCTATTCTGCTTTAAGTGTTTGTTTTTTAGTTGAATATTTGAAGACCATTGCGATATTTGGATCTAAAGTTTTGTTGCTTGGAAAAATTTGCTTCAATTTTGTTATCATCTTTTTATATGATTTGGGATGGTTTAGTTTGAAGAATTTCTCGTTTTTACCCAATATATTGTTTATCCTGGCGTTGTTACATGACCGGAGCAGGCTGCATTCTCATTTTTCGTTCACGTAGACGGATATTATAGTTCAATATTTTATATAATGGCGATGATATTCATATGGTAAAATTTCTTTTAAAAGATGATGTTTATTCATATGATATAGTTCATGTTTATTCGATGAATTCAAGTCTTGAAGTAAAACTAAGTTCAACCAATTAAATTCTTTTAGAAAGAGAAGTAGCTTCCTAATATCAAATGTAAAAGCTTTTGTGGACTTTTGAGGTGTAACAAATGATTCTCTTGAAGCTAAAATTAGCTTCAGATTCTGAATTGAAGTCCATCATTTTCAGCTTGCTCTCTGTTGTGGAGTTCGAGGTGTAACAAATGATTCTCTTGAATCAAAAATTAGCTTCAGATTCTGAACCTTCTTCCATTGGAGCCCATCATTTTCAGCTTTTTATCCCCTCTTGCCACAACAATTAAACTTTTGAAAGACACCGTTTCACCTCTTTTATCTATGGCTTTGTTGCAATTTTATATAGTGGGCTTGTGGGTTTGGAAAACACTCATCCGCAGGAATCATTTTCGAAGTAGAAAACGCTTCTGTTCTGGAGGTTGGTGCAAGCTTTTGTGTGTCTTCTTGATAAATGTTTTACGGTTTGTTTAAAATGTATGTTGTAAGTTCAGTCTTTCATAATCTTCTTCAGTTCTTTTGTATGTTTTAAGAAAAAAATTCCACGAGTATGAACAAAGCTGCGAAAATAAATATATCAGTAGCCTGAATTCAATTTTGCAGCCGTTCATGTTCGGAATCAGTTGTATGTGTGAGAGTGCGCGCAGCCGCAGAGTAGCAAATCTTTTGAATTCGGGATGAATTGAAAGAAAATGCGAAAGAAATCATGATCCATTGTATCCATGGTTAATTCCTTTTCTCCGAAGAAGGTTCGCTTGTCAATTTAACAAATACCTCAACATATTTCATTTTATTACATTTTGTGTGGACATTTGAATAAAGATTCAAGTATACATTATTTTGATGTGAACAAAAGAAAATTTTACGATGTGAAAAAGTTATGCTAAAAAAATACTTATGTAATTGCTATTTATTTATTCTTTAGAGGAGAAAAAAAGTTATATCTTCCGTTCGAAGAGTTCGGGCGTCTCAGAGTCGACAACCAAAAATATTGCGGCAAAATGGGGAAGTGGGGGCGGAGGGGTTTCAGTACTCAGTGGGACTCATGCTAACTGAAATGGGGATGGTCACACAAAAACAAAAAAAAAAAAGCTGAAAAATGGGCAAGGTCTCCTGTTCCTTCTCATTCGCTTTCTCTCATCTTCCTAATTTTTAATTGCTAAATTAAAATTTTAAATAATTTAAATTTGATCTTCAAAATATTTTATTTCATGTTACTTTTATTATATTTTTTAGTTGTTCTTGTTAAATCTTAAAAGTTTGAATTTTATTATTTATAGTTTTTATAATTTAATATTATAATAATAATTTTACAGGAGGAGATCGAATTTAAAGCATTGAATTTTTGATTTAACGACTAGAAAGGAAAAAGAAAAGAGGACATCATTGACAAAGGTAAATGTATCTTGCATAAAAATTAGAATATTATATTGTTCCAAATTATTAGAACTTGTAATTTTTTAGCTGATTACTTAACTAAATTGTCATATAACTTATTTAGTAATTTTTATATCTTTAGGCAGAAGGAGGTGGATGATGAAAGTTTTTACTTAAAAAAAAAAATAAAAACCCAACTTTGTAATCGTTATTAAGTCTAGAATTCTAGTTTTGTTCAGTCAAAGTAAAAAAAAAAAAAAGGACGGGAAGGAAGGGTTAGAATCATGCCCCCTCAAACTTCCAAACAAACAAAAGAGAAGCCTGAAGATCAGCAAACGAAGAGGTTGCTGAGAAATCCAGAGCAGACGAAATGAAGAGCATCTGGAAACCCTATTCCATGAACACCTTGCGTTTGTTAAGTCGTTTGAGTCGGTCGCCGGCAGCCTTCAATTACAGCACTTGCCGCGCGATAGTATCTACTACGCCTGCTTTACTTCCCAAGCAATCCGCCCTTCTCTTCTCCAATCATCCTCTCTCTGGCGCTTCTTCTCCTCGACTGCCCTCTCACTTCTTCTCCATCCGCTGTTTTCGTAACACACGCGATTCTACCCTCAGGTTTTTCCATTTTTTAATATTAAAAATAAAAAAAGTACGAGCTCAGATATTTCTGACTCGATTTTTTTCGTTAATCTCATTCGGTGGTTGTGTATGAAATCGTGTAATTGGGGCATTTGCTCTCAGAAGTTATGAGATTACTCCTCCTGTGAATTGGGGAATACGGATTGTGCCTGAGAAGAAGGCCTTTGTCATTGAGCGATTTGGCAAGTACGTGAAGACTCTTCCGTCAGGAATCCATTTTTTAATTCCGTTCGTCGACCGGATTGCTTACGTCCATTCCCTCAAGGAAGAGGCCATTCATATTCCTGACCAATCTGCTATCACCAAGGATAATGTCAACATCTTAATTGATGGGGTACTTTATGTGAAGGTCTGCGTTTCACCGGCTTATTTTCTCGCTCTCTCTTCCCTCCTCCAGTTTTAAGAGTTTAACGAGGTGCTTGGTTTTTTCAATCTTCCTATATTTCTTTGCACAGATTGTGGATCCTAAGCTGGCTTCTTATGGTGTAGAGAATCCCATTTATGCAGTCATTCAGCTTGCCCAAACGACAATGCGAAGTGAACTTGGTAAGATTACTCTTGACAAGACCTTTGAGGAAAGGGACACGCTTAATGAAAAGATTGTGGTGAGTTTAGTTCATGAATTGATTCCTATACACTCGTTTTTAAGTCATTTTAGCATCAACATTTTCTTCTCGAAACATCATAGCTACTTAAGTCCCAAGTTCAACTTAATATCTAGTTGGAGGCAGTCTTGGACTACTGGATAAGTAGAACGTCCCGTAGTTCTTCACATGATGTGTCTCCTGACGAAGATGCTCAATAGAAATTGGAAAGTGTGTGGTGTCTAACCTAGTTATAGTCCTTCTCGGATCAGATAAAATTTTGCGGTTGCAGCACAGCTACAACTATTTATTTAACATCAAGATTGAATCATCATGTTTGTCCCCCATTTTTCAATGGTGTGACTCAAAGCTTAAGAAGTGCGAAAATTCATATAAGAAAATATAATAATGTGTTATTACATCGTGAACAAAGTCTTGAATTAGAGGCATGTGGTGAGACACAGAAATTGCCAAAAACAGAAAAAAGGAAAAGAAAAGGAAAGAAAGATAAAAGCTTCAAAGCTACTGGGTGAGGTTATAAGTTGTGGCAAATGTCTGTATTTTGTTTGCATATATGCAAGTATGAATGGTGAGAGAATGTTATCCTGGCCAGGAAGGAGGACATGCTAGAGGAGCTCAGTCAGTTAAATGTAAGAGTTATAATCCCCTTCACTTTCGGTTTGAGTGGAGATACAAAAGTGTAAAGCGCTGATAGATGTATATATATTGAAAAGAATGAGATATTAGTTTCTATTCTTTGTCAAGGCATGTGGATATTCAATTTACTAGTCCCACATTAAAAAGAAAATTCCTGCGGCTCGTCATTTCATTAGACAAAAAGAAAAGCAAGAGAATATAAAAGATGTAGGTTGTAGTTCTAGCTTTGAAATTAGTTTACTTCAAGAAGTCTGAGTTCCATCATGAAGTGCATGGATTGTTTGCTTCGAGCTATAAGATTTTTTGTTTACTTCAGTTGTATTATATGAATCCTACTATTCAAATACCCCCCACTTTCCTAACCCAAGCTCTCATGCCTCTGCTTTTTTCTATCTTTGAATTACAGAACACTTGTCCATCATATCTGCTATAGGGACTTTTGAGGTGTATTCTTTACTTGCATGCATTTTAATTCAAAAGCTTCCAATTGCTTCCTATTAAAGATTTTACATAATGTCTCTGTGATTTTTCTGGGATGTATTTTTCCCCTCTGGGATCAGTTTCAGTTCTTATACTGGCATTTGGGTATTAAATACTGGCTTCAATTAGAAGGTTATCAGATGATGCTTGAGTTAGTGGTTTTATATGTTATGTCTTAACATCAAACTGGTGTACTAAATAGATTTCAGGTTTTCTTTTGGTTTATTGTGCATATTTTTTCTTGTTTTTATTTCTATGCTTTTTCCACTGGCATTTGGATATTGGCTAAAATATTGCACTGTCGCCCCCTTCTGACTTATGTATTAAAGATTGCTTCTAAATAATATATAAATGACTAGCGGTTCCAGTACATGCTTAGCATTTGAACATGATCAAACTTCAGATCATGGTCTCTAAACCTGCTTAATTCTTTTTCCTATTTATGAGTAAAAGATAGGAACATGTAACATCAGCCATCAGGAATTCAAAATATGTCTTGACTTATTTTATCATCTTTAGACAAACAATAATTGGTCATGTGACAACATTATTACAGGAGGCCATTAATGTCGCTGCAAAAAGTTGGGGCCTGGAGTGTCTTCGATATGAAATAAGTAAGTTTTGATAAACTATGAAACAGTTTCCCTAACATATCCTTCTAAATTTTTGTGAATTTCCCTTTGCTGTTTTTCAGGGGACATATCTCCTCCTCGTGGTGTTAGAGTAGCCATGGAAATGCAAGCTGAAGCAGAACGTAAAAAGAGAGCTCAAATTCTTGAGTCAGAAGGCAATCAATTTGCTATTTCAATTCCTCAAGAGTTCGAGGAATACTTAACATCAATATTGATCCTGAAACTAATTTTAATATCTTTTCATTGAACATTGTAGCTCATGTATATGCTCACACTTCTGCCCTTAATTGCTATAACCTATACAGGAGAAAGACAGGCCAACATAAACATAGCTGATGGCAGGAAGAGTGCGGTGATTTTAGCATCAGAAGCTGCAAAGATGGACCAAGTTAACAGAGCCCTAGGTTAGTTACTTTTTGATGTATCTCTTCCAAGAGTGAAGCAATATCAGTTATATAATTTTTCATAGAGACAGTTTGATGCCAGCTAAACATGAATGTTTTAACACATTTTAATTTATATTCTAGTGTTTTAAATCAAAATAATCATGGACAGAGTTTCCCTTTTAGTTCAGGTTTCTATTTGATGAGATGATGTTAAACTGTGGATTAAACGACAAGTGAAGAGCCTCGTGTGCACTATATGCTATTTTCCTTCGATATTTTATAACCTTGATGGGTATCAACATTCTTTCTCAGGTGAGGCTGAAGCCATCCTTGCTAAAGCAAGAGCAACAGCTGAAGGTCTTGCCCTTGTGTCGCAAGCACTAAAAGAAAATGGAGGACTAGAGGTGAGGTTCTTTAGTCTGTTGATATTGCACATATCACACCTTGTATTGCCTAAGGTCGACATCAATTGTCCATATCGTATTAGTAACTTTCTGGCTTTTTATTTATAGAAAGATGTGATATCTTGCTCTTTGGTTTCCATTGTTTGCTGGTCTGCAATGCTTGATGTGCATTTTGTTAATTAGCTGTCATTGCAGCGAGATATGTGAATGTGATGTAATTTTGAAACTCAAGTTTGTAAACCCTGTGTTGTCACAGTAATGTTGCAAGAGTCCTTGGACAAACATATTCTACTCAGCGATGCTATTTGGTTTATCTAACTTCGTCCACGCTTAAGAACAAGACCTAGGAAGGAATTAATGTTGTCATTTGGTTTGCAGGCAGCAAGTTTGAGGATCGCAGAGCAATATATTGATGCCTTTAGTAACATAGCCAAGGAGGTAGCCTACAAGCTGATTTACATGCAAGTCCAAGCATTGCACAAATTGTCAACTGTAATGTTTGTTTGATGCCTTTTACATTTTCCTCAGGGTACAACAATGCTGCTTCCTAGCTCTGCATCTAATCCTGCAAACATGATGGCTCAAGCTCTAACCATGTACAAAAGTTTGGTTGCTAACGTTTCTAATGATAAGCCTGAGGGGCCCATCTCCCCTGCAATAGCAGGACAGATAGAGGGAGATGATCCGTCTAGCAAGGCGAAAGATGATAGCTCAACTGTCAATTCTGTAAGTGCTGATACTGCCGTTTATCAGGACAAACCAGGGTTCTCTCTCCAAAGCCCCAAAAATAGGGACTAATCTTTGATTTGAATATTTTCCATTTCTTTGGTCTCGAGTATGTTGTTTGGTCTCGAGCATGTTACCACTTACCATGAAAATTTTGACTGGGGAGAGGCAAGTATGAGAATTTCGTTGGACTTGATTTTACTGCTATTTGTTGCTGTAGCATCGATCATTCAATAATTGGGATGGAAATTCTGGAAAGATTTAAAAAAAAAAAATTCTGCCTACTTGCATTAACTACGGTAATTGTCGGGTTTTTTCTCCCTTTCCTTTTTTTTTGGGGGGGGGGGGGGGGTTGCACATGGACTCGTATTTATCTTTTCTTGGATAACGCAAAAGAGATGAAGGCTATGTTCTTTTTTCTTTCTGGGTGGGCCCGGCCCCAGACACATGTTCTTGTTGCTTTTGCGCAAACACCATCGCAAACTGCCAAACACCGAAGTCGGATCAATCGTGCGCAATTATTAGTTGGTAAAAAAGTTGTCTCTTAACTTTACCCAAAAATATTTTTAGGTATTTTAAACTTAATTATAAATTAATTGTATCTCTCAACGTTAAAAGTTCATTGCCTATGTGCGCTGCTCAAATTCTTGAGCAGGCCGGGTTAATAGCTAACCCTAGATCTGGTCTGGATAACACCTCAAACGGAGCATGTTAGTCTGAGGTCTGGTCTAGTTTGCTAACCACTTGATACAAGACCAGACCATGCTTGGTTTATGGGTTGGAAACTAGTCTATCGAGTTTGAATATTTAACGGGCTTGAGGATTAGGGCGGGGATGAAAAAATCAGCTATTGAGAACACGAGAGAACATAACGATCAAATGTGGAATATAAAAGTGGAAATAGCCGCCGAACAAGATAAGAAATTGCAAGGTGAGATCTGGAAAGGGGACAACGATAAAGCTTAGAACTTTCATCCTTGTTGCTGGCCACATCTAAATCTTTCATCCTCGTTGATGAAAAGCATGGAGATGAAGGAGAAGAGAAGAATGAATTGAACAGTCTCATTACTATGCTAAGAAGCAAACAAAGATGAAGATTTGGGGGCAGAGCATACTGTGAGGGAGGCCAGACGAGGAGCATAAATAATTCTGGACAAGAGACAAGGGAGTATTTAATGCTGGAGGTGAAGAATTTAGGAATTTTATTTAAAGAAATTAAAAAGAAAGATCCGGGAAATGTTTATATAATATATATATATATATATATATTATAAATCAGTGACGGACCTAAAAAAATAAGTTAATGGGAGCATAATTTATACTTAAAATAAATATTCATATTTTTATAAAAATAGTTTTAAATATTTATAAAATTACATTAAGGATATAACATAATAAAATTGAATACCAATAATAATGCATTAAAATTATAATAAAATAAAAAACAACATTTTAATGGGATAATTTTTTTGGTCATTTAGGTCATACAAATTTATATAGGACAAATGATTTTTTTTTTTAAATGATGAGGGTAAATGAAATTTTTTATAGAGGGCATGTACAATTTTTTTGAGTGAGAGTTGGTGGGTGGGTGTGCGCGCGCGCGCGAGATAAACCACCAGGTTGGGCTGGAGTGATTAGTTAGAAAGGTCAATATGATGTTAGCTTGGCCCAAGTGCCCAACCTGGTCTGGTCTAACATGAATTTGATCGGGTTTCTTTTTTCCTTGCTTAGACGGGACAGAATGAGACCGAGTCAGGCTAAGTTGACCGGGGTACTGGGTTCAATGCACAGCCTTACATACCCCTGGTGTTAAGTCATAAGTGGTTGTCTTCTCCAATTATGTGAGTCCAACCTTTAAATTATTGGTATTTTTATCTTAAAATATTCCCTCTCTCCTTCATTCTCTCCTCTCTTCTGACTTCATGACTCTCTTTCTCTCTCCACTATTACCATTGAATTGCATTTGGTGCTCATCACAAGTGATAAGCACCACATGCTCATCTTTACTATTTATTTAAATTAATTTTAAAATATTTTTAATATTATATTTATTAATATAAAAAATTTAAAATTTTAATAAATATGTTTATTATCAATCTAGTCAGTATAAATTTAATTTAATATTTCAACTTAATATTAAAAATTTATATTTTTACAATTTGATTGTTCAGATAAACTCTAAACAGTTCGAATATAATTTAAATGACTTAATTCAATATTAAAAAATTTATAAATTTTACAAATTAATCATTTAAATGTACTTTAAATAGTCATTGTCTGTTGCTAGTGAGTTCGAAGGCCAACGGCATAATAAGGAAGTTGTAGACGGGGACCCAGAAGAGGACGCTAATACTATTAAAGATGGAAAGAGACACTAGAGGGATTTTGAATAACGAGTGGCCTAAACACATGTTCGTGGTCTTGCCTTACAGGATAAAATAGTTGCTCATTTGGTTGTACATGGTAGAGAAGATGATTCCAGTAGTCTACCTCGAAAGGAGATGAAGACCTTAAAGAGGTCGAAGCATTGGTAGCAAGTATGGCAAACAAATCATCTTGATTCTGACCCGAAGTAGCACAAAACTTATCGATGCAATCCTTCATTACATCTACTTGATTAGTAAAAGCCTCTCCAAAAAGGACCAAATCTTTCATAAAGAAGAGATGAGAGATCCTAGGATAGTCTTTTTTTCAATAAAATCAGTCTCCAATCTCTAGAATGGATGGCATCCTTGATGACATGATTAAGTCTTTCTATACACAAAGTGAAGATACGAGAGGAAATAGGATCACCCTAATGAATACCTCTTGATAAAGTAAAAGAAGAGAGCATATCATTCCATAAAACCTTCATCTTAGCACCCTTAACACAACTATAGTCACCTCACATAAATCTTCCCCAATGCCAATTACTTTTAAGGTATTTAAAACAAAATGCCACTTTAGACAGTCATGGGCTTTCTCCAAATCCACTTTTATAGCTAGCTAGCCCTTTTGTCTCTCTTTCTCTCTTTTTTTGTTTCTCATAAAGTAGATAACCTCTTGGGTAATGATTATACTGTCATTGCTTTGTCTACTCACGATAAAATTGCATTGAAGGGTTCTTACCACTTTATCCATGATTCTTTTAAGTCTATTGGTCACCACTTTGAAACAACCTTATAGTTGACATTACAAAAAGATATTGGTTTAAAATCTATTATACTTTTTGGGTTGTCCTTTTTGGGTAAAAGAAGAAGATGAGTATCATTCAAACTTTCAATAAGTTTAAGAGTGCGAAACATTCTTCACTAATTCACAAATGGACTCTCCAATGATATTCCAATAATTTTAACATCCTGAAAAATACTCCCTTAATTAATTAACCTAATGAAAGGTAAATTTATAAATTAAAATATAAATAAATTTGATAATAGTTAGAGACAGCTATTAGGTTTAGTTTTAGTTTTTGAATTGGGTTTGGAAGTGAATTAGGTCTCCTAGACTCAAATTATTAAGAAAGATTAAATTTTTATGTGTTATGCTACAGCATAATTTTTAAAATTAGTTTTTCTAAAAATGCAAAAACATCCAAAACAAGGTGAAATGAGCCTAAAATAAAGGGAAACGACGAAGAGAGTTGTTCCTCTACTAGAGCATCAACTTTTGAGTATTTTAGAGGTGATTGGAGCTTGATTTTACCAAGGTATGCCTTTCTTATCTCTTCTTCTTCTCTTTACACATTTTAGAAGTGAGATTTAAAGTTAGGAGATGATGATTTTCGAACCTAGGCCTATGAGTCCGAATCCATTGATCTAAATGGGACTAATGAGAGTTGTTTAAATTATTTAAGCTTAAATATAGTATTTTTATGCATGAGAACAAGGTTTTAATTATGGATGAAATTATACCCTAAAGTGCCATAAATGATAGTGCTTGAGGTAGGTTGTTGGCATTGATATTGATTAAGGATTGTGTTAGTATTAGTTGGAGCTGATGAGAGCTAATAAACTTAATATGGTGATTAAACTTAATAGTTGAGAGCTTTGGGTTATTAAAATGTTGAAGATTGAGAGTTAAAAGTGAGTAATTTATAACATTGATGATGATTTTAGATTGTTAAATGATATATTAGTGATTATTTAAGTTGTTGAGAGCTAAATAAAATTAATAAGAGTTAAAGTATGAAATTAAATAACTCATTGGACACGAGGTTGATCATGTAGTTGAGAAATTTGATTATTAAAGTATGAAATTAAATGTTGGAAATGGTGATTTTGATGATTATTAGTGATAGGTGTTAATGTTAATTGTAGACTAATCTCATGAAGCGCTGGAGAACTTGAGTTTAGCTCGAAAGCAAATGGTAATGATGGGTAAATATTTAATCTCTCAAAGGTTTGAAGTAATTGAAGAAACTTAGTTTGTATAGTTAGATATTAATTACTTATTGATTGAAATTGTTGTTTTAAAAATATGATTGATATTTTAAATTTTTTAATGGAAATTTGGCATTTTTTAAAAGTTATGTTAAATGGTTGTAAATAATATGCATGTTCTGCATGTGCGAAATCATTTTAAAAAAAATGAAGAACCTTATGCATGTTGCATATATGATTGTGATGAGTATGTGAGTAAGGATATGTGGATTCATGAAATGAATTGCTCATTAGAATGCATATACATATATGATATACGTGTATAGCATGATCATTAGTGAGAGTTCGTCTAGAAAGAGGAGTAATTGATTAAACCTATGTGGTATTGGCATTGATTGTTGGAATCAAAAGCTTACCTTAACATCGACTGTTAGAATTAGGAGGTAGCTCTTATCTCATAGTTAATTCGAGACTATCCCATTTATTCTATGAGGGACTTAAACCTAACTAGTCTCTACCGATTCATGAGAAGGTTGAATTAGGGATACGACACTTCATGATTGTTAGTATTAGAGGAAACTAGATTACACAAGTGAGTGAGTTGACTTTGGCCCAATAGCTCCTCACAAGTGGAAGGCTGGGTTAGTCTGTGAAGGACATAACTATCGAATAGCCATCAGTTTTATGTCGATGGCAATAGGAGGGTATAAGGTCAGTTTATGATCATGCATTTAGTTCCGACCACATGATTGTTAATATTGTGGTCCGGTGCGATTTAGGGGTGCATAGTTAGTATTATTGCCATCCCAAGTTGTGAATTATTAATATATATGATTATGTGTTTGAAGCTCAGTTACATGGTTATTATTGTTATGGCCGAGGCTATACGTTATCATACATGCTTTATATGTATGTTTAGTACCAATTGCATTCATTTTTTATTGATATGCAACTGTATAGATTAGGTAAAACTTGATTTCTAAATAGTTGTACTCACCCTTTATTTAAAATTTTATAGGGCTAGCTCTGATCAGGATAAGGAAAAGGCATATGAGGTTTAGGAATTAGATTTTCTACTGTAATGCCTCAAATACTTTTGACTAATGTATAATTATCATGATATTATCAACTAGGATAATTATGTTGACTACTTACAACATTGCATTCATATGTGATTACTGGTTAGTGTTTTCATTCCCTTGATCAAATATATGAGTTAAACATGCTTTTTTAAAGCCAAATGCTGTGTAAATGTGTTTAAGACTATTTTGAGGGTTATAAATATGTAATTGGATAATTTGAATGATGATGACCTCTCTCTTTGCTTTTGATGAATTTAGGGTTAAGAAGTGAAACTATGATTTGTGATATATATGTGTATTGTGGTGTGTTGCACAAGTCATCTTAAATCTCTTGAGTATGGTCTAGATGATTATGTGAGCTAATGGCACTTGGGTTGAGTTTTGGACACTTTAGAAGTTGAAAAACGTGAGGAAGTAGTAGTTTTGATTCGAGTATTTAACTTTTTGATATGATAGAATTGTAAATGAGACTCATGCCATTAGCTAGTTCACTGAATGAGCTTTCTTTGAACACCTATATCATCTCAATCAAACGTCGGATGAAAATTTAGTGTGCATTGAAAGTTTAGGCAGGAAATCTACTATGACAATTTTTACTATCATAGATTTTACAGTTGTAGCATAAAATTTTATGTTGCAATGTATTATGCTAGAATCTTTGCTTTTTCTTTTTAACTTGTATGATGTTCATGTTTCTGTATACATGTTTTGCTCTGATTTTATTTTTGTAAAATGATTTTATAGCATTATAAGTTTTGAAAATTTAGCATCTTATTTATAAAAATTTTACAAACTTGGTAATTCATTTGTGTTATTCCCATGATTACCTTATTATTAGGGATTAATTGTGGATTAGTAAGAGAGACCTTACAATAATCCTGGTAGAAAAAAGCTTGTAAACCATCCGGTCCCAAAGATTTGAAAATGCCCATATCAAAAAGGGAATTTTTGATCTCTTCATTTATTACCTCGATATGGAGCTTTAAAGCAATATCTTGATCAAGTACGGGGAAAGAGTATTGAGTTACTAGCTTATGACTACAATTACTATCACTTTTAAACAAATTCTTGTAATAGTTCATAGCCAAAGAGCTCAGCTTATCTTGAAGAAAAACTTAATTATCATTACCATCTTTAAGACTTTCAATCCTATTTTTGCTCCATTTGATTTTGGTTAAATTATGGAAGTATTTTTTATTCCTATCACCTCATTTAAGCCAATTAGAATGAGCTTTTTGATACCAAATTAATTCTTCTTGGGTAAGAACCTTGTTATACTCCTTCCAAAGTTTCTTTTCAATCAACAAAAGAGCTAGATTATCACTCTTAGTTGTGCATCTTTCCACACCTTCAATTCTTCTGAGAAGCTTGTTCTTTTTTGCTAGAATATTTCACACTTTATGTTTGTTCCATTCAATTGCGTTATATTAAAAACTTTAATCTTCTCTGCCTAGTTACTTTCCCTTTAAGCATTTTGCACATAAGAGAAAGCATCCTCAAGGAGCCAAGCAGCTTGACACTTAAATAAAAGGGTAAAACTTTGTTCTCTAAAGTTAGCTAGATTTTTCAATAACAACAGACTTGCTAAGGTATTGGCAATTTCCATGCTTATTTATCCGCTTCGAGCCAGACTTGCTAAGGTGTTAAACTTTATAAGAGGAAAAATCATCAAACTAACTACAATTCCCAAAAGTCTAGTCCAGACACTCTTTCATAAAATTCTTTTCCCAAGCAAAATTATCCACTATCTACTTAAATTGTTGCACACAATCATTAAAATTTCTCATGGATAACAAATTAGAACAAGCACCCTAACCTTATCAGAAGCGGATAAATAAGCATGGAAATTGCCAATAGCCAACTAGGTTTCATTTATATTTAGACTAACATTGATAAGATTATCCCATAAGAGGCTCTAATGGGCATGATTTAGTTCAGCATAAATGCAAGGAAGCTAAAAAAATCTTATTAAAATTACATTTTGGTCAATAAAAACATGCATGAGTTGTGTAGTTGAAAAACCATACCGACTACTCACATTCGAGTCATTCTAAATTCAAAATGTGCCACTTTAGTAGCGCCTGAAGTGGCAAAGAATTTGAGCTCAAAACAGACAGAGAAGCCGATCATAATGTGCAGCTGTATATGCACTAATAATAGCGCTTGAAGTGGTAGAGGAGTTAAGCCCTTGCTTCTAACTTCATAAAACCCAACCTTCATTGCCTTTGTCCTTGTGTAGTCCTAATCGGTGCAACCACACTAGTACATCACATGGTCCACTCTGCACACCAAACTAGTTTGAAAGCACTTCATAAGCATGACAATGATGTCATTTTCACATGGAAGATGCCTTCCAACAACAGCTTAAGGATGTGTGAAGTTTCTTGTTCTGCCAAAACCAAGGGAAATAGGCTGAGGGAAAAGACGACACCCACTATAAAGGCAGTAGCGCTTGATGATGAGGATGATGAGAATCTAAGAATGCCTGTGGTTTAGGAGATGGTAGACATGATCGGTCTTTGGATGAGGCGAGCTTGCTTTCAAGACACAATTTATAAAAGCTTTTTTAAAGGAAAAACCCAAGTTTTGGTCCAAGATAGTTTCATCAAGTTTTGTTTTTAATATTTATAACTTTTTTCACTGTTTTCAGTCCTAATAGTTTTAAAAAGACTGGGTGAACTTAATTTTCTATATCCCTATAGATTTCATTTTTCATTGATTTTAGTTCTTATAAGAATTGAAAAAAATTATAATAATTAAAAATAAAATTTGATAAAATTATAGCGATTAAAGATTATGTTTTTTCTTTTAAATAAAAGGCAAAATGGTGCTCATATAGCTATAACATTGAATCAGAATATTCATATAGGCTGAGGACTTTGCCGGTGATACCGATGATAGGGAAAGAAGTCAATGTCATGAACGACGCTGTTATTTGTAAACTACAGTACAACCAAGCAAAGATAAAGGTACTGAAAACTGGATCAGCTATTGAACCGGCCACGGTCGGGGGTCAGGGGTCAGGGATTCAACCGAGGGTCAACCCGGATTCAAACTGGACATAATAAAATAATATGATTTAAATAAAAACAAATTCTCTAACACTTAATACCTTATATAATACTACATACAAGTCCAACATAATCATCCAAACATCATTAAAAACACATTTAAAATATTCATCCTTACAATCCTTTAATCATCAAAAAATCTAAAGCTAATAATAATCAACACCAAAATCCTCATTAATTTCATTCAAATCTCTGGGAGTAAGGATTGAAACATTAGGAAATGATTAAGAGAAACCAGAACCACTTCCAACATCATCATTCAAATGTGAATGCTCTGAAATATTCATATCTTCTTCACCTATTTATGACAAAAATTAACATTAATCATTATGTAAAAAATAATTATATATTATGCAATATAGACATGTTAGTAAGTATGAACCTTCATTATTTCTCACAGAAATTGATGAAGCTACAAGATTCTCATTATGTATAGCACTTTCCAAATTAGTGACATCATCAGCATCAAACTCTAGAGCTGGCTCTTGTTCCTCTTCAGCAATCTAAAAGTCTAATTTGTCAATAGATTCATAATCAATTGGATCAAAACTTGTCTTTTTCTTTAATTGACTCCTTTAATGAGATCAAAACAATCAAATATAAGTATATGTCTACCACGAGATAGTAATAATAAAATTTTTATTTATTAAAAACATTCATAACTTTTATTTTTATTACCTATGCTTCAATCGTAGATTGTAGTTTGTAAAGACTAAATCATTTAGTCTTTGATGTTCCAATCAATTTCTTCTTTTGGTATGGATGCGTTCAAACAAACTCCAATTTCTCTCACAACCAGAAGAGGAAGAAGTTTGGCTAAGAATACGCATTGCAAGATTTTGCAACTCTGGAACAGAACTTCCATAAAATGATCATCATTCATTTGCAAATAAAAGACAATTAGTTATATGTTATATGATAAATAAAATTACCATGATCATGTTAAATATTAACACTTATGAGGGTCTAGCTTTTGTGCTACTATATGACATGAAGCTTTATCAAAAGATTCTTTACGGTCACAATACAAGCTCAACTGCTTCATCATCACAATATAATCAACATCTTCATTTTCAGTTGATTCAAATATTGAAAGCATAGCATCCATTAACCTTCTTTTGTGAACGGAGTCATCATCATATAAGAAGGCAGGGTTCAACAAATATGCTGCTGCATGAAGATTGGTCTTCAAGTGCTTATCCCATCGGGCTTGGATAATATCTGTGTAAGGCTTGTATTGATCTTTCTTATTGTTGAAGACTACCTTAATTTCTTTTTTTGCCCTTTGCATGCCTTCATAAACATAAGGCAAAGAGGGCTTCTCATCTGAATCAACAATTCTCAACAACTTTATAAGAGGAGACACAATCTTCACAACTTCAAGACATTCATTCCAAAATCGATTATCTAATATGATGGCACTAACAATTATTCCGGCTTCGGTCCTTGATAATTTATGATCCATAAAATGCTTATCAGTTATTAAAGCTTGCAAGTCATGCTTTTGCATATATATGCTATGCAATATGATAAATGTTGTAGCAAACCTTGTCGCACCAGGATGCATAATTTCTTTCCAACCCTTTCTTTTCCTAAGCCATGACAGGAAGACCATATGATTATAAACAAACACAGTGATCTTTGATGCCTTTGTTGTAAGTTGTGACACATGAGACATACTTGCAATGTCTTTCAAAGTAAGATTCAAGCAATGAGCAGCACAAGGTGACCAATAAATACTTTTATATTTCTCTTTAATCAACTTACCACATGCTATATAATTAGCAGCATTATCAATCACCACATGCACAACATTTTTGGGACCAACCCACTCAATCACTTCAGAAAATAATGAGAATGAAGTCTTGGCATCTTTCACTAAATCAGAAGCATCAACAAATTTCATAAATACTATGTCATATGTAGAATATACAAGAAAATTTATCAAAGTTCGTTACCTCACATCTGTTCAACCATCAGCCATGAGTGTACATCTATAAGTTTTCCATTTAGATCGATAACTCTCAATAAGTAGCTAACATTCTTTTTTCCAATCATTCAACAAGTTAACTCTAAATTCATAAGTAGTAAGACCCTTAAACCCCAGCCCAATTGAAGCAATAGCATCCACAGCTTTCTGAAAGAATGGGCAATCTAATGCATTAAATAGAATGCAATTGATGATAGCTCATTCAGCAATGGCCATTTTTGCACCGTGTTGTGCTTCTTTAGTTGCATATGGACTCTTAATACCTGGTTGGGAACCTAGAGTTGTCTTAGGGGTAAAATAATTTTCAACTGGCATAGTAGGAGGTTTCTTTTTACTGGCACTACTCTCAGGGATTGACTTAGATGGAGCAGGTACATTGGGTGCATTAACATTAGACACATGTTCTTTCATGTCTGCTTGTACATCAACAAGCTTTCTTTTTTTCCCACTTTTTAATAATTCTTGCATCTGATGACGAACATCAAAAGAAACTTTGCTGCAGGAAACTACATTTCCACTTACACCAGTAAGATGATGCTTCAATCTATTTATTCCACCTCCTTTATAGCTCAATGCACAATAAAGACATGTATACACATTTTTGTTGCCCTCTTTTCTTAAAGCAACATGTGCCCATGCAGGATCTTTTTTTTCGCGAACTGATGGGGTTCCAGATGTGGAGTCATTATGGCTAGCAGGGGCGGAATTGTTGGAATTAGGAGTGGGATTGTTGGAATTGAGGGTAGGATTCTCAGTTCCATCACTACTAGAATTACTTCCAATATCCATATTATAACTTTAATCTGCAAGCTATGATAATTTCAACATAAATAAACATATAATGCAAAAAAAAACCAGAGCAGCCAGAGCAATCATAGCAACCAGAAATCTAAAATACAGTACATAAGAGCAATATAAAGCTCGAATTAATTTTCAACAACCAGAGCAAATCAAAATACATATAAAAATCACAAACAAGATTTAGAGTTCAGACAAAGTCACAAAGCACGGCATTTGAATTCCAAAATGAGAAGAGGTTCTCGCCTTCTCGGTTTACGTATTCAGACAGAGATGAGAACATGAAGCTCAGATTAATTTTCAGCAACTAGGGCAAAAATTATATTTGATTATTTTCTAATTTTCTAACTCTAATTCTAAATTCTTATACTGTCCGTAGCCAGTGACTGTAATATTGCCATTCACAAATTTTGAAATTCAGACACCTTCCCAGACCACGTTAAACTCCTTGAGATATCATTCCGTCCACAAGCTCGTAGAGGAGAGAGAGAGAGAAAAGCATACCTGAATCAAGTGGGGGGAGAGAGAAAGCAGCTACCTGAGAGGCTCGTACGGACCATTGAAGCTCAGGCAAGATTTAGACAGAGCATAGCATTTACTGTTGAAGCTTTGAGGCATAGATGAGAGATGAGATAGGAGATGAGGGCGAAGCTTCGAGGCAGAGATGGTCATGGGTTCAGCATCCAGATTCAGCCATAGATGAGACGCGAACCTTCATTTTTGTTCAACCTTCATGGTGAGAATACGAGATCGGAGATTCAGAGATTAAGTTAGGACTTTTGAGTTCTGACTAAAATGGACAGAGGAGAGTTGAGACGCAGAGGAGAGAGGATGCGAGAATACGGACCAGTGGACCACCGTTCAACCTTGAACCTTCGCATTTTTTTAATAATATGACCCCCAAAATGACGTCGTTTTGGGGGTCAGTTTCTTTTAAAAATAATAACCCGCCCAACCCTTTTTTGACCCTGCGGTTGGGCGGGTTCACCCAAGTTAATCTCGGGTCACCTGGGTCACATAAGGCCACTTTGGCCATATGAACCGGACCGAACTGGTCTTCGGTTCACTGGGTCACCGGTCGGACCGGCCAGTCCAGTTCGATTTTTAGGCCAAAAAATGCAAGAATTGAAGCCTGGTCAACGGTGCAACAGTCGGAACAAATAATTGAAGGCTAGGGGTTTCTTTCCATTCTCCTTTTTCATCTCTTTTCCTTCATTTTTTTTCATTTTCTAACCTTCAAAATTGAGATCAGTATTTGAATGATCATGGGCTTATATAAAACCGTTTTTATTTTATTATTATGAAAACAAATGTTTGATAAAACATTTTTTAAAACTAAAAAAATAAAAACATGTATTTTTGTATTCTATCTTTTTCTTTAAAATGATAATCTCAAAATATTTAAAAAATATTTTTATTTTTTATTCTCTAAAACAATTTTTTTTCAAAATATTTTTTTAAAAATGCATTATTAAATAAATTTTTTTATTTCAAGGAATTAAAAAATATTCTCAAAATAGGTTGTGAAATAAGCCCTATCTTTTTCTCTTATTTTAATTTTCTAACTATAAAATTAATATTTAAATATTTTAAATTTAACTTTATATAATATCTTCATGAGAAAATCTAAAAATGACAAAACAATATTTTTGAAATATCTAGATGATAATTAAGTAGGAAATGTAATAATTATTTTTTACTTTATTCATTAAAAAATATAAAATATTTTGAATTTTTTATGATGTAATCATTGTCTTTTTTAAAATATCTCTATTGAATAAATCACTTTATATTTATTATATGATAAAATAATCTAATAAATAGGGATAAATGTAAAAAAAATATGGTTAGTTTGAATATAAGTGACTACTTTATTGAAAGTAAGATTCGATTAAAATTTTTTAATAAAATGAATAGTTTTAAGATTGTTTTGTAATTAATTTTAATATGAAAGTACTATTTTACCCTTGACAAAACCCAATGAATGCGCCCTTCTTGTTCTTCTCTCCGGGCGTTCTTCTCTGCAGGTGAGATAAAAATTAACAGCCACTAATACAAAAAAAAGCGTGTGGAATATTTTCAAAGCCAGATTTAAGGCCACATCTGAGCCTCTCTTTGGTTTCTATGTCACCGTCGTTGTTGACAACATGGTCCTCTGGTTGGCGATGTAGTTAAGAACGCCTTTTCGAGGACTAGAGCTAGGGGTGAGCAAAACCGAACCGAAATCGAAAATTGAACCGAATCAAATCGAATTTTGTCTATTTGATTCGGTCTATTTAATTTTTCGGTTCGATTCGGTTTTTTTATTTTAAATATTTCGGTTGATCGGTTCAATTCAGTTAGTAAAATTTAAAATTGAATAGACCAAACCGACCGAATTACATATAATTTATTAATTTATAAATTATATTTAATTTATAAATTATTTTATTTTTATTTTTATTTTTTATTTTAATAAAGAATAAAAAATAATAACATCACTTGAAACCCCATTTCAATCAGTCACTCTCATCAGTAGGTGTTGTGACTGGATTATGGGGTCATTATTTGATCATCGGTGTTTATTTGTGGTTGTTTATTTGATTATCCATGCCTTTATAATATTTGGGCTTTATGTCATATGAGTGCAATTAGAATGGGCTTATATTAAAAAAACGAATAGAAAAAAAGGCCCAATTTTATAGTGTTGTTTGTTTTAATATTTAAAAAATGGGCCTAATTTTAATAGTCAAATATGAAACCGAAAAATCGAATTAACCGACCGAACCGAATTATCAAATTTCGGTTCAGTCCTTGTTTAGTTCGGTTGGCTTATTCGGTTCAATTTGGTTTTCATTTTCAGTGTTATTCGATTGATCGGTTCTGCATATTTTGAGACCGAACCGAACTGAACCGACTGATACTCACCCCTAATTAGAGTACATGAGCCCCTGAATCCTCATATTCTTGTCCTGAAAAATCTGTTTGTACTGAACAAATTTTTTCCTTGTGATCGAGATGCCGTATTGGATTGAAGGCTCGGGAAAGTGAAATCTCTAACCAAAATTCATGCGCTTGATCATGGATGATGAATTGCTGGAGCTGCAAAGACAATTAAAATTCACACAGCAGGCAAATTCAAATATTCGATTATCGAAGCATTGGATTGAAGCCTTGGGCAAGTGAAATCCCCAACCAAAATTCACGTGCTTGATCATGGATGACGAATTGCTTGAGCTGCAAAGACAATTCGAGTTCACACAACAGGCAAAGTCAAATATTCAATTATCAGAGTGAAATGACGTTGGATTGGTTCAGAAATTAGAGGAGCTTCGCATCAGTGATTTCGACCTTCTTCATACCGTCTCTGGGAAAGAGCGCAGCACTTCCGTACACTTTCTTACTTTTCGCCGTCACTTCGCATCCACGGAGTACGTTGGGAAAAATCTAATGGAGTTTTGTTTTTCTTCCTTAATTAACTCTGTTTTAGTATTTTTGATCGGTGGAAGAATGAAATGCTGAAAAATAAAGAGCACTTTATGTGCTTTGCCTTTAGGTTTGCCGGTTCACAATTAAATTTTAACCTCTTGAAGAATGGTCTCCACCAAGTTTCATATATATATATTGTGCCATGATTTTTGTTTTTTTTTCGAGTTTTTGATTCCTGGCTATCAGGAGCAACTGAGGAATGAGATGGTGGCGGAAATTTTAAGATAGTGAGAGAGTGGAAGTGCATGAGAATAAAATAATCTTTTTATATTAAAATTAATTCACAGTCAAATCTCTAAATTAAAAAATAATTATCATATTTCTTACTCTCTTGGTTAAAAAAAATGAGGCATTTTTAATTAAATTTTACTTCAATAAAGTAGTTATATACTTTTAAATTAATCCTATATTTTTATATGTATTCCTATTAAACATCTTATAATAAATATAAAATTATTATTAACAGGAACACTTTTAAAAAAAGACAATGATTACATTTCAAAAGACTAAAAATGTCTTATATTTTTTAACATACAATTATTTAAAAAATGCATTATATTTTTAAATGGAGGGAATAGTATTTAATTATTATTTAAATATTTTTCTATTATTCTCGCTATATTTTATTTTTACTATATTTTTAAAATATTCAAATCAAAATTTATTTGATTATCTTTTTTATAATTTAACATTTAAATCTTAATTTTATAAAACATAAAATTTAACGTGTGTTCAAATGATAATTGAATAGATAGAAAAAACAAATAAAATTATTATTAAGAAGAAAAGGAATGAGATCAAAAATGGGGAGAGGGAGAATCTCTCGTTTCCTTTTTCATTTTCTCAGTTGTTTTATAGTTTATACCAAATTTATAATGGAAAAAAATGACACAAATTTCTTTTCTTTAACTACAAATTCAGGTAGGTTAGATAATTCGTATTCTTAAAACATTTAATGTTTTTTTATGCCCAGCAAGCATATCTTCAACTCAAAATAGCCTTTCCGTGGAATCATTTTCCCGTACCACTTTCCCCCTATTTTTTCGTAAAAGGTAATAACATCTCACAACCGAACATGACACAATATTTTACAAGTACGATTTCTCGTTTAAATTGAGCACAGTCTTTGTTGTGAGTGGCCATTCCATTGCAACAATGACAATAATAATAAACCTTATTTCATTAAATAATGTTGACTATATAATTATACGATGTCATTATATTTTATTATTTATTAATCTTTTAAAAATATTATTAATTAAGAGATCTCGATTAACAACTTCAAAAAATATTCTCTTTAACCTTTCTCTATCATTCTTGACAAGACTTAAAGTTATCTATTTAACTTTTCTCATAAGTACCTCCCATGATCTTTTTTGTACATCTTCAAACTATTTTAAATAATTTTTTACCATTTTTTCTTTAATTAATAGGTGTGACGTCCACTTTTTTTTGTGTATGCTCGTTTTAAATTTTATTTTTATGTGTATGTCTACACATTTATCTTAACATTCTCATGTATA